CCAGATATCAAGAGCCTGAGGAAGGAAGGCGGTTAGGAATCGAGATGGAGGGAGAATGACGAAGGGAGGATGGAGGAGAAGAAAACGATGAAGGAAAGCTTGGGATGAGAGGAAGATGAGAAGAAATAGGAAGATAGGAATAGGAAGACAGAGAGAAGTTAAGGGAAGAAGATAGGAAAAGGAGGAATAGATAGAAGTGGTGGAAGAGGATGTGTGGTTGTGGTAATGGTAATTGTGTCAATATTAAGGATATATATATCAGCTTAAGAAACCATTAGAACTTGGGATATTGTAGTGATAAGTAGGTTAAGTAAGGTTAATGCCAACGAAAATGGAGATGATCATGTTGATAATGATTTTAAATCTAGAAAAAATCCTTCAGCTGTTATTATTGTTAGTTTTGTTCTGCTGAACCACGATGTCTTTGTATTTTGATATCAAACAGGGTAAAAGCTTGCTAGTGAAATCGTTCAGCCAATAAACTCCCCTCTGGTCAAACCACTTCATATGAAACAGTCACCGCTGAACACAAAATTAACATATAAATGGTCACAGATGTCTCTCTTCCTGCAGCACTGGAATACACGCACCCACTATAGAACTAGTCCTTGGGTATAGAGCCTCACATCAAAGACCAAGCGCCCCCGAATTCGTAGAGATTCTCATTCCAGACAAGGTCCAGGTCATGCTGGGATCTCCTAAAGATGTAAAATCCAATGTAAATGACTGCAATATTGTCCACAAATTAGATGATCTTGGAGCCCTCTAGCATACAGAAGTGGTTGGTGGTCTGAAAGACGACACTTTGCAATTGACCTTAGCAGTCGTAGTCCTGAATGACTCCCCCATCTAAGCAAGGAGTCTTCCTTCCTTGGTTGGTTCTCCAAAATGGGAAAAGGTTCTCAAGTTAAAATGCCTCCTAATCCAGAAAGAAAGACAAAGAAGAAATATCAACAGCTAAACAGTGTGTTTTGTGAACCCGTGGAGGTTTCCTGGTTCCCACTGAAGCAGGTATAATGCCATACTCTCCATTGTTCATTTTAAACAGTTGAGGAAAGTTATCTGGCAATAACTAGCCAGCTCCTTTCGTATGGAAATCTCCCAGGACTGACGAATCGCAAAAAATAAGCTCACCCTGCAGTCTTAAAAGGATAAAGATAGATTAGGGAATCCTATCACTGCTGAGGCTTAACTGTTCTTAATCGTCCTCTTTGATTAGCTTCGAGAGGATGTGTATCAGAATCAGTTTTAATCCTGGCTGGTATATCTATTCAAATGCAGTCATGACTTGCCCTCAACTCTGCTGGGAAACAAGTGATACCTGTCCTCGATCTCATGAGCCAGTTTTTTTTCAGCCTTATCCCCTCTAGTTGGGGATAAGGCTGAGCAACTGGTGAATCATGTGGGAGCTAGAGTTTCACAGAAACATTACTAGGAAACGGATGGATAATGGGTATGGTCATTGAAACTGACCCGGCTCCAGCACATTCGCCATTAAATTTCATGGAAATATAATCACGGCGACGGCAGTTATGATGATAAAAGTACTGCTTGTCATAGGAAGGTCATCAATAACCTCCCATAACAAAAATACGTTACTCTCCCAAACAAATACAGCTGAGCAGCGTACCCAGACAAAATAAGCACGTGGTATTTACTAGAAAAATATGTCCTTTGACATACAACCATCAGCAGGAATATGCATCAGTTTATGAATAATATTGTCTTGTTCTGCATTTCTTTTGATCGAGGTGGTTTTACTATTACATTTTGTTTATCATTTTCATATATACATACACACACACATACACACACACACACACACACACACACACACACACACACACACATATATATATATATATATATATATATATACATATATATATATATATATATATATATATATATATATATATATATATATATATATATATATACTATATACATTATATGTATACATGCATGTATATATATATGTGTACATAATATGTCCATATTATACATAAATGTGTCTGCATATTAGATATGTTTGTATGTATATATAGACATATATATAATTGAATATAATGTTATTGGTAATAATGATAAAAGAGATGATGATGATGATGATAACAATAGTAATAATAGTAATGATGATAATAATAACAATAATAACAATAATAATTATAATAATAACAATAACAATAATAATGATAATAATAACAATAATATTAATATTAATAATAATGATAACAGTAATAACAATAATAGTAACAACCGTAATAATAATAATAATTATTATTATTATTATTATTATCATTATTGTTATTATTAAAATTACTATTACCATTATTACTATCATTATTATTGTCATCATTACTATCATTATTTCTATTATTATCAATATTCTTGTTATTATTGTCATTATTGTTATTATTGTTATTGATTATATTAGTAGAAATAAAGCAATGATAATAATAATAATAACAGTAATGATAATTATGATAATAAAAGTATGATGATTATAATAATAGTAATAATGATAATCATAACAATAATAGTTATAGTAATAGATAGTGATAGTAATAAAGATACTAATAAAGAGTCATCATGAAAGTGAACATGTCTGATATGATAATGATAATGAGATGATCAATGATAATGATAATATTAATAATAATAATAAAATAACAATAATAATGATGATAATGTTAATTATGATAATAATGATAATAATAATGATAATAACAATAATAATAATAATAATAATAATAATGATAACAACAATAACAACAACAACAATAATAATAATGATAATCATAATCATAATAATAATAATAATAATGATAACAACAATAACAACAACAACAATAATAATAATGATAATCATAATAATAATAATAATAATAATGATAATAATAATGATAATGATTATATTGATGATCATAATAATAGTAATAGTAATAATAATAATGATAATAATAATGATGATAATAATAATAATAATAATAATAATAATAATAATAATAATAGCAAAACCAACAACAACAACAGCTAACGATTATAACTGCAAAGATAATACTAATGATGATGATGATAACAATAATAAAAACAATTATAACAATAATGATAAAACAATCATACATAATATAACATAACATAATTATGCAAACAACAATAATAATAACAATGATAATGATGATAATAACAATAATAATAACAATAATAACAATTATAATAATAATAATAATAATAATGATAATAATCCAATAATAATGATGATTATGGTAATACTGATAATGATAACGATGATGACATTGACGATGACAATGATAATAATAATAATGATAAGTATTATCATTATAATAATAGTTGATAATAATAATAATGATAATAATGATAATAATAACGATAGTAATAATAATAATAATAATAACGATGGTAATAATAATAATAATGATAAGAATAAGAATAACAATAGTAATGCTAATAATAATAACAATAATAACAACAATAACAATAACAAAAATAATAATGAAGATAATAACCATTACAGTTATGGCAATAATGGTGATAATAATAATAATAATAATAATAATAATAATAATAATGATAACAATGATAATAACAATAACAATAATAGTAATAATAATAATAATAATAATAATAATAATAATGATAATAATAATAATAGTAATAATTACAATAATAATAATAATAATGATAATGAAAATAATAATAATAATAATAATAATAATGATAATAACAATATCATCAATAACACTAACAATGACAATAACAAAAACTTTAGTAATAATGAGAATTATAATGATAATGATAATAACGATAACTCACAGCGATAACAATAATAATAACGGCAATGATAACAAATATATTGACAACAACAACACTAATGATATTAATAGTAATTACAATGTTAATGACAATAATGATTACGATGATGATTATAATAATAGTGAAACTAATAATGATGCTGATAATGATAATAGCAATAATAATTATGGTAGTAGTAATACTAACAGTAGCAATGACAATAATGATAATGATAATGATGGTGATAATTATAATAATGATAATGACGATGATAATTATAATAATGATAATGATAATGATGATAATTATAATAATGATAATGATAATGATGATGAAGATGAAGATGAGGATGATGATTTTAATAGTTATGATAATGAACAAATACAATAATAAAAATGATGATAATAGTAATGAAAATGATAATAACAACAATAACAGTAACAATGGCAATGACAATTATAAGGATAATGTTGAAATAAGTAAAAGAATAGTAACAATAATATCAGTATTGACAATAATGAAGATAATGACGAAAACATTACCATACACATCACTATTTTTATTATCATTGCTATAATCACTTTCACCTTCATTATTCCTATTATCATCCTTTAGCGTAGACATACCTTTATGTAAGAAACTTGCGGAATCTTCAGTTGGGTTTCTGTGGAAAGGAAAACTTCCTTACAAAGAGCAACCTAGATTTTGTTAAAGAAATTAATTGTATACTATATTTGTTCCTCCTGCAATTGAAACCTCTTCTGTGATGTACACAAAACACTTTATAATAGTTATAATTTGTAAAACATGAATTTTCACTACCAATTTACCCATAAGTTTTAGTCGAATGTTCATCCAAACGCACATTGTAACGGTTTTCTTAAAGAGCACAAAGGACAAGCTGTCCCTTCCAGCAGGCTGTCCCCTGTCGTCAGCACACAGGGAACAACACCTCTGGAACCACGACCTTGCACCAACTCACCAGAGGCCTGGTTGGAGACCGTCAGCAACGTCGTGACCCCCAGGCACGTACGCGCTGGGACAGAGTCCGTGTCCATCCAGAAGCCCATCCAGGATATCACGACAATGAGGATGGAGGGCAGGTAGCTCTGCACCAGGTGGAAGCCGATGTTGCGCTCCAGGGTGATGAGAGCTCGGAGGCAGCTGTAGTTGCCTGGGGGAGG